ATGTGCAGTCAACCTGGACCCTAGTCGAATCTCTCTCAGCGGGTCCTCCCCATAGTCTTCTAACACCAACTCTTCACACATACTAAGGTACCCCGGGTAAGAGCATATTTGTAAAAATCCACTGAAAACAGTGAAGATGGACAGTATTGACGATCTAGTCAAGTCGATGAGTTTACCCGGAGACCTTAGTGCGTGTGAAGAGTTGGTGTTAGAAGACTATGGGGAGGACCCGTTGAGAGAGATTTGACTAGGTTCCAGGTTGACCGCGCATTAACGGTCTCTCAGCTGCACAAGAAGTTCCTTCCTCGCATTCGAAGAATTCCGAATGGTCGTTAATTTGAAATTCTCGCTGGATTGGTTGCTTGACAAACTGACTTTTGTGGTATTTTCGTTTTGATTAGAGGGAAAGTATTTAAGTGTTGTTTTCGAGCGATTTTGGTGAGCACGTGTCAACAGAAGTTTCCGACCTTCCCGTATTTTATGCACAGTAATTTAGGGCGTCAAGCTAAAACACATCAAAACGGCCTCAAATCGCGAGGAGAACAACACAGACTACTATCTACGAAGGTAAAACTTTATTTATTTGATCATTTCACACAAATTTACATTTACGGAGCTCAAAAGCAAGTCCTACTAAACCACTATACAAACTCTTTAATTATTCACTGTGAAAGAGCCTCTGACAGAGCTTGGGCCACCTATGACGTAGTCAAAAGCAAGGTGAATCCGTGAATGACTTCATTGTTGCAATAAAGAAATTGTCTATACACTGCAATTATGGACTGTTTCTGGACAGAGCTCTGAGAGATCGATTTGTTTGTGGTCTCAACGCTGTCAAGATACAAAACTAGTTGCTGAATACCGAAGACCTTACGTTTGATCGAGCATGTCGGATTGCAAAGTCCATGGAGATGGCTGAGAAGAATTCACAAGAATTTCGCCCTGCTGCTGCCGTAGGAGAAAGTGAAAGAGGAACTGTTAACCAACTTAAAACTGAGAAAAATAGCGCAAAGGAACACTCGTCCAACAAATCATGTTTTAGATGTGGAGGAAAACACAACTATAATAGTTGTAAGTTTAAAAGTGCTAAATGTTTTAGGTGTTCAAAAATAGGGCATATCGCCGCAGTATGTCGTGCTAAAAGTGAAGAAAACAAAGTCAACTCGTTTTCGCCTAAGGGTAGCATTCAAACGATACAAAGTAATGATGAATATGATAAACTGGGTTTATTTTCTGTCGAAACCACTGTCTCGAAGAATCATAAGTACAAAGTTAACATGTCACTCAATGGTTGTATGTGCGAGATGGAAGTGGATACTGCAGCAGATCGCTGAATTATGAGTAATAGTACTTACTTACTAAAATTTAGTAACTTCACCCTTGCACCTTCAAACGCTATACTTAAGACCTACACGGGGGAGCTGGTAAACGTGAGTGGAGAAATGAGATGTGATGTGGTATACAAGGGCCAAACGTACTCGTTACCCTTGTTAGTTGCAGATTACACAGAGAAACCAACTTTGCTTGGGAGGGATTGGCTTAGTTGTGTTAAGTTGGATTGGATTGGAAAAAATCTTTCAGATTAGAAGCCCAGAAACTCATGGAAACACAAGTCAGCTTGACAACTTAATTTCAAAGCACAATTTTCTCTTTGAGGATAGTTATGAAGGTCTTCAGGGGTTGGAAGCCCATATAACTATTAAAAAAGGGGCAAAACCTGTTTTCTTTAAACCCAGAAAGGTGCCATATGCCTTAAAAGATGCAGTTGAGAGTGAGCTAGATAAGCTGGAGAAGAATGGTGTCATAAAGAAGGTTGAGAGGTCTGAGTGGGCAAGCCCAATAGTAGTAGTACCCAAAGCTGACAAATCAGTCAGAATATGCGGTGATTATAAGGTCACTATAAACCAGTCAATGGAGGATGAACCATACCTTCTTCCAACTACACAGGACTTGTACAATGCTCTTAGTGGCTCCAGAGTCTTTAGCAAACTTGATTTGTCGCACGCTTACGCTCAACTTAGTGTTGACAAAGAAAGCCAAGAATACCTTACCATAAATACACATAAGGAGCTGTATTCTTACACCAAGCTTCCTTATGGGGTTAAATCCTCCCCAAAACTCTTCCAGGCAAAAATGGACCTTACATTACAGGGAGTAGAAAGGTGTGTTTGCAAGCAAGATGATATTCTCATAGGTGGTGCAGACTCTCAGGAAAAACTGAGAATCCTTTCAGAGGTATTAGAACGCCTGCACAAATATAATGTACACTTGAAGCTATCCAAGTGCGAATTTCTGAAAACAGATGTAGTTTACCTTGGCCTTCGAATAAGTGAAGCTGGACTACAGCCGGTCGAAGAAAAACTTGAAGCAGTTAGAAAAGCACCAGTACCACGTGATGTAAGTGAGTTAAGCTCATTCCTGGGAATGATCCAATATTACAATTCCTTTCTTCCAAACCTAGCGAGTACTCTAGCACTCCTTCATGATCTTTTGAAGAAGGGAAAGGCATGGGTTTGGACTACTGAGTGCCAAAAGGCCTATGATGCCTGTAAAGAAGGCCTTAGAAGTGACTCTCTGCTAGTTCACTATGACGTCACTAGAGAGCTTAGGCTGGCCTGTGATACCTTCAGTTATGGGTTTGGAGCTGTCATTAGTCATGTGATGGATGACGGCAGAGAAAGGCCCATTGCTTATGTCTCAAGAACTTTAACGTCTAGTGAAAGGAATTACGCCCAGACTGAGCGTGAGGCACTGTCTATCATCTATGGGGTAAAGAAGTTTCATCAATTCTTATATGGGCGGAAGTTTACTTTGGTCACCGATCACAAACTCTGCTGTCAATTCTTGGACCAAAGTCGGCCATTCCCACATTAGCTGCAGCCCGGATGCATCGATGGGCCCTAGTTTTGTCAGCATATGACCATGAGATTGTATTCAAACGATCGGAAGATCATGCCAACTGTGATGCATTGTCACAACTGCCACACAAAGGCTCTGATCTAGCTAGTGAAGTTTCAATTTATCGTGTAAGTGCTGTTGATGATGATTTTCCCATCTTAGCCAAAGACATTGCTAGAGAAACCCAACATGATCCAGCAGTGAGCAAGGTCCTTCATTTTATGTCTAGATGGCCAAACAGATGTGAAGATGAAACACTAAAACCTTATCACAATCGTAGGCTAGAGTTGTCCTGTGAGCAAAGCTGTATTCTTTGGGGTTCAAGAGTAATCATCCCACCTTCTCTAAGAGTCAAAATGTTGAAGGAGTTGCACTGGGAACACCCTGGTATGTGCTTTATGAAGGCAATTGCACGCTCATGTGTGTGGTGGCCCAAAATGGATGAGGAAATAGAGGATGTAGTGAGGTCTTGTACAGTGTGTCAGAGCACTAGGAGTTCTCCACCATGTGCACCTTTAATTCCATGGAAATGGCCAAGTAAACCATTCCAGAGAATTCATGTCGATTTCTGTCAAAAAGAAGCTGATTACTTCCTAGTAGTTGTTGATAGCCACTCCAAGTGGATAGAGGTCAAACATATGACCTCAACCACGGCTGATAAAACAATTGATGAGTTACGGTTGATCTTNAGAGGAAAATCCTGAAAAAACCTCAGAATTGTCACAGATACCAGATAACTCAAATCCAGTTGTGCCAATGGCACCTATTTGTTTAGGTCATGAGGCCTCCGCCTCTCCATGTGTTTTGAGGAGATCCGAAAGAATGAAAAAACCTGTTGATAGACTTAACCTTTGAGCATCTAGGTATTTTCATTTGTTGATTGTTATTGTTGAGTTATGTTGAAAAAGAAACCCCATTTTGCTTTGTGGGGGAAAGTAGTGTAATATATTCATACGTCTTCATACCCATGATGCACTGTGAATAAAAGGAGAGAGAACACACCATGTGGTTGTTGTGGTTTTCTTAGTGTGATTATCCTAAAATACAACACCTTACCTATTTTTATTTAAAGTTTTCCCTCCCGTGAAGTGGCAAATCTCATGGTACAGTAGTAAAGCACTGGATTGGTAGACTGACAGCCCGAGTTCGAGGCCCAGCAGCCGCGAGTACCTAACTGAGATTTTCTCTTATCCCCTTCTTTTTTCTACTTTTCAGTTCTACTGCTTATACTTTACAGCTATTACCTTCTTTCCTTTCTCCGTAGAAACTACTGTTGAACTTCCATGTACCAGCCTTTGGGCGAGAATGGATGTTTGCTTTGAGATCTCATCTGTTTTTTGTATCGATCGATCGATCATCTACTTTGCTGCTTTCGAAAAATATCTGTTTTCTGTTGCTTTCAAGTCGTCTCCTTTTTGCTCTGTGGAAATACCCTGTACACTACTTACTTATCTGATTTAAAGTACGGTAATCTGCTTTATAGATTACTGACCTGATTTGCATATTAAAAAAAAAATTGCGGGCACCCACAGAACCTGTGCCTAAGTTTGATTTTGGGTTAAGGTGGCTCAATGAGGTTATGCAAGATCACGAAGCGCGCGCCAGTGACATCAGTCGAAAGTTAATATTCTCGTTGTTTTTGCTATTTTTCAAATCAAAGCTACTGAAACATAAAAAACAAGGGCCTAAAGTTGTTGTACAACAGTTACCTCTGAAGTCAAGGCTTTTAGTTCCAAATTAAAACTACTCAAATATCGCCATTTTTTGACGTCTGTTTGACTTTGATTTCAATTTTCTTCAGTTTCCTTCGGTAAAATTTTCTATTATTCTCCGACCGGGTAGAGTTTGACAAGACGAAACTTTTAAAATCGAAAAAAATAGGGGTTGTCAAGGTAGTTTTTTCGCTTTTAGCATTTTTGTTGTTTTTTAGCTGAGCGAAAAACTTGTCTTACAAATTTTTCTGATAAATTCACAGCAAGTAAAGCTAAAAGGGTATAACATCTCTGCCAGATTTTAAGGAATTTCACCCAAGGAAATACGAGAAATCTGAGGGGGAACTTTCTATTTTCTCACCTCAATGGAAAATTACGTCATCAGAATAGGAACTCGCCAAGATCGCTATTTGAGCATGCGCGAACTTTCGAACCACGCGGTTTTGTCGAGGACGAATGTGTAAACACGGGAGGTCTTTATCTTTGACGTTTTTGTACAAACTGCTTTTGACCTGAAAGTCAGTTGAGAACATACCTTAATTCACTATGTNGTCGTGGTCATTTGGTTGTTTTCCTGCCTTTTTAGCTTCATCACAGGAGCGGCACATTTTATTTTTTGTTGTGTAGTCAAGGACCTTACCAGTTGAAAGGCCCATGACTGCAGCATGTCCGGTCTTAGAGTTGAAACCTCGCCCCCGTTTCTGCCACCCCATGTCGTAAGAACAGGCAATAGGTACCAAATTGTTCTGGTCAGGCTTGTTACCATTTTCAATTGCCTTCTCTCGTTCAAGGTTTAGGAATTGCTGGCAACTATTTTTTGCTACTAGCTCTATTGCCTTTCCAGCTTCCCTTTCCCGATTTTTAAAAGTTGATGAGTTCAGTGCAGGCACATTGAGGATTGAAAGTAAATTGTTTAAATGGGTGTTGCCCACTCCTGTGTGTAAACAGCCAAGGGCAGCTCTCGTGTTCACATCAAAGGTCAATGGACCGCGTGCACCAGATCTGTGCTCTTTTGATGTTTTAATGGTGTTTTCCGCATTGCATTGGCTGCATATAACAGTAAACGTGCTTGCCAAGCCACTGTGCTGTTCTTCAATAACATTGCCAAGAGACAAAGGGCCTAGAAATATTGTAAAATACACTGTAAACTAACAGGGAAAAAAGACTCCATCCACAATATTTGTTATGTTCTTTTATATGATAATGGTGTAAAATATGCTATAGTACAGTTAAAAATAGTGAGAATTTACCGCTATGACAAAATGAGCATTCCTTCAGACCATCTGCAAGGGTTTCTGAGTCCACCAGTCTGGATCCTTGTGGCAGGTTTGCCTTCCTGTTAGCTTTACTCTGCTGATGGGAATCAGGGTTGGAGTCAACAGACCAGGTAGGCCGATAATTAGGACAAGCTGGGCAGGAAAGTCTTACCACAAATTAAGACTTCTGAATAGAGAAAAATGTACTGACCTCACGTGCTCGTGTCATTCGTTTTGCTGGGGGTTCGTTTTCCTTGGATATGTTATCATACTGGAGCTTTCTTTTGGCATTCACGTTTTGAACCCTTCGTGTAACCTTTTTATTTTTGTTTCTTTCCTGGTTTCGATCGCTTCCACTTTCCGAAAACGACCTGACGCATTACGGATGTTGTGTAGGCGTGGTGTAAACTTCTGGTCTTTGACTGTCAATATTGTGCTCATTACTGTAAAGTATCGATGCCGTTTCACTCTCGTCAAGTAAACTTCGCGATTATGTGGCAAAAATTGTGCACTCGCGTGAAGCCGCCATGTTTGTTTATATGTTTGATGCCATTTCAAAGCTCGCGCCATTTTCTTCGCGCGGCCAAAAAACCCTATTGAGCCACCTTAAGTCTAAAAGCAACTCGCTATTCCAATACCACACCCCTCTCCCTCAACTCTAGAAACCCTCTAATTCCGTTTGCCATGCTTATTTCTTGCCTAGGCCTGCACTGAATACAGCTACAGTTGCTTTTAGACTTTCCACTTTGGCCCCTAACATATGTCTTGTATCACTCGATTCTTTGAATGATACACAGGGATTACTGACTTTCAGGATTCATGACATCATATTAGCAATTTCTGAGATAGGGATGTCTTCTTCCAAATAACATTCAAGCACTGACTTTGGAACATCGAAAGCAGGAAGTCCGAGATCACTTGGAAAGTTCATTGCTTGTTCCGCATCAAACGTTACACAGGCTATTCTTAAAGTCATTATGTCGCACCGATTTTGTAGCCCAAGTTCCTTGAGTTCATGCAGGGGCAGTTTACAAACAATGTCAGGCGATATTTTTTCTTCTTCCAACCGATGTAACAAACCTTCCATTTTCAATTTTCTCAACACCAAAGACATAGTCAACATTTTGTGATTGGTGAATATACGTCATGTTCACTGACCGCAGATATCGCCAATTCTCGTCCCAGAGCCGCTCGCTGACCACATGATCAATCGAAACGGTGGGCTCAGGGGACCATTCTCACGAATACGATGCGAGCATGTGCTTTGGAGTAGTTTAGATGACCAGATATACTGGCTCAACGAATACCATGTTGCAAAGGCACCGAATATAATGCTCTATGAACTGAGTATAATGCTCTATGAACCGAATCGCTGAGCACCGAGTAGCAAGTTGTTTGCACCGAGTAGCAAGATGTTCGCACCAAACCAGATGCTAACCTGACCACAAATCAGGTGCAAACTGACTATGGAAAAAGCACAGAGCATGACAAACTAGGCATGCACCGAATATAAAGAAAGCTGAACCGCTAAAATTGATCCAAGCACCGAGTATAAAGCGGTTGGCAGTGAGTATAATGGCTTTCACACCAGGTATAATGTGGAAAGTACCGAGCACCTTGAATAAAGAGCCGAGTATAAGGTGACTGGCACCGATTATAGCAACCAGAGCACCGAATATCATGATACAAGCACCGAAGACGATAAGAAAAGCGCCACGGAGAAGAAAACAAAATATCATAAGACACTTATGGCGTTCCATACAGTCTGCTATTTACCGAGGTTTCAATAATCAGAAATCTCTGATGGAGTGCTCTACAGCAGAATTTGAGGAGCAAAGTACCATTCACTCATCACAATAAGAAAATTTCACAATGCCATCCTACAATACAATACAATGTAAGATGCTACTTTTATCATGCAGGACTAGTTCTACAGTATGAATTTTGCAACCACATACACATTGCTGCATTTCTTTTGTTCACCAGATGACCTAAGTAATAAAACATAATTATGCAGAAAAGTTGTTCGCTTTGTCAATGTTGAATTCAGAGATCACTGCTCAGTTAATTGTGTACACAACCTTCTACTCTGATCTCTGTCTTATTGTGAACAAAACTTTAAAACTGATTCACATTGAGCATGCACAAAGTAATATGTTTCAGTTGAAGTAAAACAACAATCATACATTAGCACTCACAAATAGGTCTCACACGTACTCGTACATTTAATTACAGGTAACATAATACTGGTGCCACTGAACGTTTCTATGTAGCACAATTGTTGTTTTGAGTTGATCTTTGCAGCCCAAAGAACCAATCAAACCACTGAACTCTAAATATTAGAGACAGAAGGCTTTCCTCGAAGAGAAAAATTAATGATATAATGTTGCCCAGGTTAAGGTTCTGCATGCACGTAAGATATGATAATTCAAGCAATATTTTATATGCACTCAACTGTTTACAAATTTTTATAACATCTGCGATGTGTTGTTATTTCTTGTTACCTAATTTTCCCTTTAACTTTTGCCTACATTCTTAGAAAAAGGGGTAATTTAGAGCATCACAAACATATACAGAAAAATCAACAGAAGAAAGTGACACAAAGAATTAAAAACTTAAATTAGTCTCAAAGAAAATTACTACAGAGGTTTGAAGTGAAGCCTCACAATGTGTTAGCCAATTTCCACCTCCGCTTTTCAAGTGTTGTAACGGGATTCAATCACTAATTGGGTTTTC